CCATGCTTTTTCTTTTTCTGATCTTGGGAGTGGTGTGAGTGGAGAATGTTTCCTTCATTAAGTTTGAGAATATTGTCCCAAAGTTCCTTTTGATTAGAATAAGATATGACTGATGATGATGTCATAGAGACCCTCTTTGAGTTGGAAGATGGTGGCTAGGTTTTTTGCAACCCAGACATAAAGGTGTCGACCCCTGTAGATTGGGTGTCGAACCTTTGCTCTGTCTTTCCTTTCCTGAGTTGATTTTCATGTGTTCCAGGTGTTGACCCTTATCTCATTTGGTGTCGACCCTTGTGGCTGAAGTGTATGCTGCTTTTTGGTGTTGACCCTTGCTACTGTTGGTGTCCATCCTTACATCTGGAGTGTATACTGCTTTTTGGTGTTGACCCTTGCTATTGTTGGTGTCAACCCTTGCATCTGAAACACTTGGTCATTCTTCCAGCTTCTCCCTGGTTTCGACCCCTGCTTTTCTGGTGTCGACCCTTTGTTTTGGAACACTTAACATTCTTGAGGATTATTCTAGTGTCGACCCTTGCTCTTCTGGTGTCGACCCTTAGACCTGTGTTAGATAAAGATAGAGTTTTGCCACCAAGTGCTAATGCTTATATATTTGATGACCCAAAAGTTATTGAACATAATATTCTAGAGTCCCAAATCAATTAGATTAATGAAGCACATATATTAATTTGAAAACTTCAAATAATCAGAAGAGTAAAAAATTCGTCATTAATCAAAATCAATAGAAATTCAAGTTTGAGTAACCTTGGAGATAACAATCTCCTCCTTTTTGATGATGACAAATATTTAAAGTTTTCAAACTATATGAAAAGGAAGGTATGAGAGGAGTTTTTTTTGAGAATGTAGGTTTTGAAAAGAATCGAAAATTCCCCCTATAAATAGGGCTTCATGACCAAAGCAAGGAGAGTGAGAAATGTATATTTATAGGTAATATGATAACTTGATATAGAACAAGCTCCCCCTGTCAGTGTGCACTGAACCATTCAATTGTAAAAATTAATTTTTGTGTATTTTTATTGAATGAAATCACAAGCATTGAATGAGATCACAAAAAGTTCCATAAGTTTCCATGAGCATGTGTATAAAGGACATAATAAATTATCAACATATTTTATGTTAACAAGATTCATATAGCTTTGTAGAATATCCAAAACAACACCAAACAAGATCTTTCCAACTGGTGTTACCAAAACAAGTTTGTAAATAAGACGTGTACAACCATTTATTTCATCTAATTTCTATCCTTGAGAGAGATACAAACTGTGCAACATATATATATATATATATATCCAACCAACATGAAAAAGGATAAAACTTTAACACTATAGTCTGAGTGACACCAAAAATATTGACACAAAATGACTTTTAACCATTTGAGATATTGAGAATTTTCTCCTCCTTTGGCATTAACAAAAAGAGGTGCACAGCTTCAGCGAAAGGGAGGAGGAGGGTGAGGCCAATATGGGGCAGCTTTGTGCCACCCTTGGGAAAACCACAACATGAATTTGCTCACCCAAATCACCGTCCCAACGCTGTTGAAAAATTTGTCGAAATTCTTTGTTGGAGGCTTTGATCCCATAGATAGCTATGAACATGCTCTCAACACTTTCTTTAGCAGCGGCAATGACTTGTTCTTGTTGCAGCTTCATGTGGTCAATGTCTTTCTGCATGGCAGTCTACTGAGTGACAAGTTGTAGAACCAAGGCACTCAATTCATCGATCTTTTCTTCTATGGCAGAGGATGAGGACGCAGGGATAGTGTGAGAAGAGGATGGGATGTTAGAGGCAAGGAAGGATGTGGACCCTAGGTTTAGATTATTGAGCCAAGAGTTTATTGAAGCAATCCCATCAAAGAGGGGACCCTGAACCAAGGAATCAAGATGGTCAATTTTAAGAGATAGAGAGGAGAGATCAGAAGAAGATTCCCATCAAAGAGGGGACCCTGAACCAAGGAATCAAGATGGTTGATTTTAAGAGATAGAGAAGAGAGATTAGAAGAAGATGGGAGAGAAGAGAGATCAGGAGAGGAGAAATGACGAGTGGAGCAACTGGGAAGGGAGGAACCAAGGGTATAGAAACCAGGGAAAGAGAGACTAGGTTTCTTGGTTTTGGTCCAGATTCGATTGATAAATGTAACAACCCCGACCCATGATTAACGTTAATCCATGCTTAAGTATGCCTAACAATAATTTAGGGAGGATTTGGAATTAATTTGCATGTGTGTTGCATGATTTTTGTGTTTCTATCTGTTCGGTATAGAAACATTTGTTCTCGTTTGAACTTCGATTTGCGAATTGAAAGCCTTATCGGCGTCCGAATCAGATATTGGCTTGTGTTGGGTGTTAGTTAGGATTTATAGGATTTTATGGTAGGTTTAATTAAAATTTGGTTTGGAACGATTAAATTAGATTAAATTAGTTCCACTTAATTGCCTTGACTTTAACCAATCTAAACACCATTACTTATATAAGCCACTCACCTCTTATATCTCATTTTGATCACATTGAGCTTCAACAAGAGGGAAAAACATGGGAGAGAGAGAGAGAGAGACAAGGGAGAAGAGAGCCTTCCTTGAAAATTTGCTAGAATTGCTTGAAACCTAGAGGAACTTGAAGAAGAGTTGCATAATGAAGCCTCCACACTTGGAATTCAAGACCTAAGGTAGGAAATTTACCCTATTGGTTGAGAATTTAAGTTGTTCTTGCATGAATTCAAGTTAATTGAGTTGTGGGACATGAGAATCAAGTTTGAGGACTAGGAAGGAAGGTCAATCCATGCATGCATGCATGCTTCATAGCATTTTGAAGTTTGATTTTCAAGAATTCCCTCCTGCATGTGTTGAATTCACTTTAATTTTGGAAACACAATGAGTTTCATGTTAACTAGTAGCATTTGATCATGTTTTGGTGAGCTTAGCTCAAAAATGTACATGCATGTTGAGTTCAAGAATTAATTTGGAATTTCAAGTTGAATTCTGCATAATTGGCAAGCCTTTGGACCATGATTTCTTGTTATAATTCTTTAAACATGTTGTTTTGTGAGTCTTCATGTGTTTCCTTAATTTTGGGCCCAGAAAAATGAGTTTTGGACGGTTGAATGTTGAATTTCATGCTTGGAGATCAATCTGGATTTTCCAGAAATTTGATCCACGCTCGAGCGGGGACTTTCACGCTCGAGCGTAAAGCCTAAGAACATGCACTTCCGCTTGAGCGTCAAGGGTTACGCTCGAGCGTGAGATTTATATGCCCAAAAGTTCATGCGTTTTGCAGTCCGCTCGAATGGGGGAAAATCACGCTCGAGCGATGGTCTGTGTCTCACACTCGAGCGAGGGTCGAGCGTCCGTCGAGCGTGAAAATCATGCATCCAGTACTTTTGTCAAATTTTACAGTCCGCTCGAGTGGGGAAGTTCAAGCTCGAGCAGAGCTTCAACATCTGCATATCCGCTCGAATGTGGACCTTATCTTCAGCAAAATTTAAGAAATGGTTTTCAATGCATTTTTGCATCCTCATTCCATGCTAGGCAATCCTAGGCCATGTTTAAGACCCCATAATGAGGATAAAAGGTTAGAAACACGCTAAGAGCAAACGAAACAAGTTATGTACAATTCGAAAGTATGTTTCAAGTGTGCATCTGTTATGTGTTCTGTAGGTCACGTGCCATACACCGTTAATCAGTCTGCTCCATCGGTCTGTCTGAAGATTAACTGTGAGTAATAACTTAGTAAAGTTATGTTTGACTTTATTTATTTTCCATGTGATGAATTAAGATCTGTTTTCTGAAAATGATATGCTCTGAACAATGAATGATTGTCCATTTCTGATATGAATTCGTGGCATCCTTAGCATCATGTGATATGTATTGGCTGTTACCCAGTATCAGAGGTTCCATCATGAAACTTAATATGTCTGTACTCTGTTACCCGTACTGGAGGCTCCATCATGGGGCTCAGCGTATTTATTCTCTGTTACCTGGATCTGGAGGTTCCTTATGGAACTGGTTATTCGTAACCCTCACGTGTCTGCCTCTATTCTGTATCTGCTCTGTTAGAGCCAATGGATGTACCACATATGCTTATATATGACTTATGATTTCTGAATCTGTACGGACTCATTCACTGAAACCCTTTATTCTGTTATTATTCACTAAGCTTTCGTTCACAGTTTATATTATATATGTAGGTGAGCCGGCACGTAATCAGGGCCAGAATTGACGGCCTTCACTCTGTTTTTGTCAGCCAACCATTGCGCCTCCCGAGGAGGTTCGAAACGAAGTCTTGTAATTTGGCTGTTTTTGTCCTTGTGTTAATCTATATCTGTTTTGTAAAGTTGGATCATGGATATTATACTTATGGAAATGTTTTGTAATTTTGGCACCTTTGGGTCGCCTCTGTTATGGTTATATACAAGTTTTAACTTATTCTGTCCCATGTATGTCAACACAGCTCATTGGACCGTTTATATTTTATGCGTTTGCTTCTGCAGCCCCTTATTATATGCTGGTCTGATAAGAGGCTTTTGGTAATCCATGGATTACTGGCCGGTTACGATGCTAAATCTACAGGGGTGGGTTTGGGTTGTGACAGAGTGGTATCAGAGCACGTGTTTTACCGCACTCACAAGTCCATTTGAGCTTAGGTTGTCCTAGTAAGAGTTAGGAGCATTCCATCTGCATGTGTGAGTGTGTGGTAATCTAAATGGAAACTGAATATAAAATTCGAGTGAATGAATTGAAAGAAATGAACAAGATTATGCACATGTTTATTATCATTTGATGTTTCTATAGTAACATGGACAATGCAAGGGGAAACGATGCAAGTGAATCCTTAGAGGCTCGCATGAGTCGAATGGAACAGATGCTTGCAGTATTGACAGAAGCCATGGCACAACAACAAAGACAACAACCTTTGCCCCCTCCACCTCCGCCGGCATAGGCTAAAACAGACAATAATGACCTTATCAACTTGAAACAGAAGTTTATGAAAATGAAGCCACCGACATTCTATGGTGGAATTGAACCACTAAAAGCAGAGACATGGTTACTTGAAATGGAAAAACTGTACGAAGTGTTCCCTTGTACCGAAGTCCAGAAGGTTCTCTTAGCCACCTATACTCTGAAGGATGAAGCCCGAAGGTGGTGGTTACTGATTCAAAACGACAATAGGAATATGACATGGAGCCAGTTTAATGCAATTTTCTATGATAAATATTTTCCCCAATGTTTCAGGGATCGGAAAGTGTCTGAATTCCAAAAACTTAAACAGGGAAGGATGTCTGTAGCAGAGCATGAAGCCAAATTTACCGAGTTGGCATGGTTTGTTCTACACATGGTGGATACTGATTATAAGAAAGCACGAAAATTTGAAGGTGGATTGGATTTGGAGGTGTTTGACCGAGTAGGTGTATTGAAATTACCTACTTATGTGGAAGTTTTGGACAGATCTACAATGGCGAAACCCACAATAGCCATCATGAAACAAAGTAAGGCCCCGGCAGCTGTACAAACTGACTGGAGAGGAAAGAGGTCCGGGTTTGGTTTTAGGAGAGGTCGGTCTTATGCAAATAAGAAACAAAATACAGGGTCTACAAATAGTTCGAGTCAGAGTAGTGGGTCTATCCCAGTCTGTTCTGAATGTGGAAGAAGGCATAGGGGTGTGTGCTACCGGGTATCTGGCGTTTGTTTCCAATGTGGCCAGACAGGTCTTGTAATGAAAGATTGCCCACTCAGGTCGGAGACTACAAGCCGTCCTACGGCGAGTTTAGCTGGATCCGCCTCTACAGCCAAAACAAATGCAAAAGCCAATACTGGGAAAGAACCTCTGAGACAGGGACGAGTGTTTACCTTAGTGCCCGGAGACGTACAAAACACCTATACTGTGGTGTCAGGTACACTTTCTATATGTTCTCAAAATGCATGTGTATTGATAGATTTTGTTTCTACACATTCTTTTGTATCACATGCTTTCTCTCGGAAATTGAATCGACCATTAGAACTTATGACATATGTGTTATCTGTATCTATACCATCTGAGGATTCTATGATGTGTGCTTATGTTTATCCAGCATGCGATATTGTGATTGGCGATATGGTGTTATATGTTGATTTGTTGCCTTTGAACATTAGTCATTTTGACTATATTTTGGGAATGGACTGGTTGACTAAATACTGTGCTACTATTGACCGTGCAAGTAAATTTGTTGTGTTTAGACCACCGGGTATGCCTGAATTTATTTTTACTGGGAATGGGGTAGTTCATCCCCCATATCTAATTTCAGCATTGAAAGCCATAAAACTGCTTAGGAAGGGATGTAGGGGTTACTTGTGTTGTATTTACTACATCATCTGATGGAATTAATGTAGAAACTATCCCTATTGCTTGTGAATTTCCCGATGTGTTTTCGAATGACCTACCTGGGGACTTAGTGGATAGAGAAATTGAATTCACTATTGAGGTGTTTCTGGGAACGCAACCTATCTCCAAGACTTCCTATAGAATGTCAACCTCAGAACTGAAAGAATTGAAAACTCAACTTCAGGAGTTACTGAATAAGAAATTTATCCGTCCGAGCACTTCACCTTGGGGTGCTCCAGTTCTGTTTGTCAAAAAGAAGGATGGGTCTTTGAGACTGTGTATAGACTATCGAGAATTGAACAAGGTAACTATTAAGAACAAATACCCTCTACCTCGGATAGATGACTTGTTTGACCAACTTTAGGGAGTCCAAGTATTTTCCAAAATTGACCTCAGATCTGGGTATCACCAATTAAAGGTTAGAGCTGAAGACGTAGAGAAAACTGTATTCAGAACTAGATATGGACACTATGAATTTTTAGTAATGCCGTTTAGGGTGACCAATGCACCTGGTGCTTTTATGGACCTTTTGAACAGAGTGTTTAAATCATATCTGGATGACTTTATTGTTGTATTTATTGATGATATTTTGATTTATTCGAAAGACAGGGGAGAACATGAGAACCATTTGAGAATTACTTTGCAGACCTTGAGAGAAAAGAAATTGTATGCAAAATTGTCCAAATGTGAATTCTGGCTTGACAGTGTCGCATTTTTGGGGCATGTCATTAACAAGGATGGTGTTTCCGTTGACCCTTAGAAAATTGAAGCTATTGTGGACTGGCCTAAACCTACGAATGTGACAGAGGTGAGAAGTTTTCTGGGACTTGCAGGTTACTACAGGAAATTTGTGAAAGACTTTTCCAAGCTTGCTATGCCATTAATCCAGTTGACTCAGAAAAATGTGCCATTTGATTGGACTGAACAGAGAGAGGGAGCCTTTCAAGAATTGAAAACCAAGTTAGTAACTGCACCAATTTTAACTTTGCCCAATGATACTGATGGGTTTCAAGTTTACAGTGATGCTTTTTATAAAGGTTTGGGGTGCGTCTTGATGCAAAACGGTAAGGTGATTGCCTATGCTTCTCGACAACTTCGACCACATGAAAAGAATTGCCCGACACATGATCTCGAATTAGCAGCTGTAGTGTTTACGTTGAAAATCTGGCATCACTACTTGTATGGACTAACTTGTGAGGTGTATACAGATCATAAAAGCTTGAAATATTTCTTCACACAAAAGGAATTGAACATGAGACAGAGGCGATAGTTAGAACTAATCAAAGATTATGACTTGCAAATCTTATATCACCCAGGAAAAGCTAATACTGTAGCAGATGCCTTGAGCCGAAAATCCAGTGCAAGTTTGTCATGTTTACTGACCGATTGAAAAGAAGTGTCGAATGACCTAGAACAAGATGGATTGTTGACTGCTATTTCCGCTCAACCCACAATTCTTGAAGAGATCAAACAAAAGCAATGTAAAGATGAGTATTTGAAAAAGATCATAAAGGAAATTAATTCGAAATCGAAACCGAGATTTGTGTGTGAGAATGACGTGTTGAGATTCCAAAACCATCTTTGTGTACCGGATTGTTGTGATTTGAGAAAACGTGTTATGACTGAAGCTCACAACAGCAAGTTTGCCATGCACCCGGGGAACACGAAGATGTATCACAACATGAAACAGACTTTTTGGTGGCCTGGAATAAAAAGAAGTATTGCAGATTTTATGGCCAGATGTCTACCTTGCCAACAGGTTAAAGCTGAACATCAACGACCCGCTGGTTTGCTACAACCGCTCCCAATACAAGAATGGAAATGGGAACATATTATCATGGATTTCATAGTGGGATTGCCTCGCTCTTCTCGAGGTATGGATTCTATCTGGGTTATAGTTGATCATTTAACTAAGTCTGCTCATTTTCTGCCTGTCAAGGCTATTTATAATGTGGATAAATTGGCTAACCTGTATGTGAATGAAATTGTGAGACTACATAGGGTACCAGTATCGATTGTGTCTGACAAGGATTCAAAGTTTGTGTCAAGATTTTGGCAGAGTATGCAACAGGCTTTGGGGACAGAACTAAGGTTGAGTAGTGCCTACCACCCACAGACAGATGGACAAACTGAACGAACTAACCAAACTTTGGAAGACATGCTCAAAATGTGTGCGTTAGACTTTCAGGGGAATTGGAAAACCTATTTGCCATTAGCAGAATTTGTGTACAACAACAGTTACTACTCAAGCATTGAAATGGCTCCTTACGAAGCTTTGTATGGGAGAAAATGTCGCTCTCCGATATGTTGGGATGAAGTAGGTGATAAACCTTTATTGAGACTGGAACTTGTGCAAGAAACAACCGAGAAAGTGAAACTGATCCAACAACGTCTGAAAACTACACAGAGTCGGCAGAAAAGCTATGCTGATGTTCGAAGAAGAGATAGGGAATATGAAGTTAGGGATCATGTGTTCATAAAGGTGACCCCGATGAAGGGTCAAACTCGATTTGGTGTTAAAGGCAAGTTGGCTCCAAGGTATGTTGGACCTTATGAAATTCTTGAAAAGATTAATTTAGTAACTTATCGGGTAGCCTTACCCCCAGTAATGGAGCATATGCACAATGTATTTCATGTATCGATGCTTCGAGAATATTTGAGAGATCCGCTCCATGTTATTGAGTTGACACATGTGCTTTTGAAGGACGACTACACTTATGAGGAGAGACCTATCTAGATTATGAATCGCCGAGTCAAAAGACTGAGGAACAAGGAAATACCACTGATAAAAGTTGACTGGTAAAACCACGGAGGAACCTATGCAACCTGGGAAACAGAAGAAGATATGATGAAAAGATATCCGGAATTGTTTCCATTGAACCCAATGTTCTTCCAGAATGAAGGTAATTCGAGTTTGGGGACCAAACTCTTTTAAGGGGGGGAGACTGTAACAACCCCAACCCATGATTAATGTTAATCCATGCTTAATTATGCCTAAAAATAATTTAGGAAGGATTTGGAATTAATTTGCATGTGTGTTGCATGATTTTTGTGTTTCTATCTGTTCAGTGTAGAAACATATGTTCACGTTTGAACTTTGATTTGCAAATTGAAAGCTTTATCAGCGTCTGAATCAGAAGTCGGCTTGTGTTGGGTGTTAGTTAGGATTTATAGGATTTTATGGTAGGTTTAATTAAAATTCGGTTTGGAATGATTAAATTAGATTAAATTAGTTCCACTTAATTGCCTTGACTTTAACCAATCTAAACACCATTACTTATATAAGCCACTCACCTCTTATATCTCATTTTGATCACATTGAGCTTCAGCAAGAGGGAAAAACATGGGAGAGAGAGAGAGAGAGAGAGAGAGAGACAAGGGAGAAGAGAGCCTTCCTTGAAAATTTGCTAGAATTGCTTGAAACCTAGAGGAACTTGAAGAAGAGTTGCATAATGAAGCCTCCACACTTGGAATTCAAGACCTAAGGTAGGAAATTTACCCTCTTGGTTGAGAATTTAAGTTGTTCTTGCATGAGTTCAAGTTAATTGAGTTGTAGGACATGAGAATCAAGTTTGAGGACTAGGAAGGAAGGTCAATCCATGCATGCATGCATGTTTCATAGCATTTTGAAGTTTGATTTTCAAGAATTCCCTCCTGCATGTGTTGAATTCACTTTAATTTTGGAAACACAATGAGTTTCATGTTAACTAGTAGCATTTGATAATGTTTGGGTGAGCTTTAGCTCAAAAATGTACATGCATGTTGAGTTCATGAATTAATTTGGAATTTCAAGTTGAATTTTGCATAATTAGCAAGCCTTTGGACCATGATTTCTTGTTGTAATTCTTTAAACATGTTGTTTTGTGAGTCTTCATGTGTTTCCTTACTTTTGGGCCCAAAAAAATGAGTTTTTGATAGTTGAATGTTGAATTTCATGCTTGGAGATCAATCTGGATTTTCCAGAAATTTGATCCACGCTCGAGCTGGGACTTTCACGCTCGAGTGTGAAGCCTGAGTACATGCACTTTCGCTTGAGAGTTAAGGGTTACGCTTGAGCGTGAGATGTATATGCCCCGAAGTTTATGCGTTTTGCAGTCCGCTCGAGCGGGGGAAAACCATGCTCGAGCGATGGTCTGTGTCTCACGCTTGAGCGGGAGTCAAGCGTCCGTCGAGCGTGAAAATCATGCATCCAGTACTTCTGTCAAATTTTACAGTCTGCTCGAGCAGAGAAGTTCACGCTCAAGCAGAGCTTCAACATCTGCATGTCCGCTCGAGCGGGGAAAGCCACGCTCAAGCGTAGACCTTATCTTTAGCAAAATTTAAGAAATGGTTTTCAATGCATTTTTGCATCCTCATTCCATTCTAGGCATTCCTAGGCCATGTTTAAGACCCCATAATGAGGATAAAAGGTTAGAAACACGCTAAGAGCAAACGAGAGATAACTGGTTGCTGCAACAATTGCTGGCCTCTCACCCTTCAGTGACCTTCCCTGTGATAAAACAGAGGTACCTGCCAAAAATGAACGAAAACCGTTGCAAAACGGACGTTCCGTGGCCAAAACACGCAGTTCGGGGTCCAAAAAATGGGCTGTTAAGCACCGAAAATGGTATTCGACCTCGAAGTGGGTTTCTTAGCGCCCAGTGTCCCTCAAAAGGGATGAAATAAGATGTATGCCAAAAATCAGAGCAATAGGAGATGGTTAAGCGGTCCCGAACCGAGGCACATGGCCTGACGGCTCCGAAAACCGGGAACCGGACTCCGAAATGGGCAAAATGGCCTACGGCCACCAAATGTAGCCTACGGACATTTGAGAGACGGTCTACGGGACCTCTCCCTTCCCTCGGGAAAAGAAACAGAGAAAACCGAGTCTGGCTCGCAAACCGAGACAAGGCACAGAAAAGGGTTCGGAAGTCCGGAGGCAGGGCTCACGGCCGCGACTCTGAGACTTCTGAACGAGCACATTATGCAATATCACCAAGCGCTCAATCGGTGATGTCTGAGTCTTAAGGTCGGTCAAAAATGGGGTGTCTACACCTTCACTCTGTTTTTGTCAGCCAACCATTGCGCCTCCTGAGGAGGTTCCGAACGAAGTCTTGTAATTTGGCTGTTTTTGTCCTTGTGTTAATCCATATCTGTTTTGTAAAGTTGGATCCTAGATATTATACTTATGGAAATGTTTTGTAATTTTGGCACCTTTGGGTCGCCTCTGTTATGGTTATATACAAGTTTTAACTTATTCTGTCCCATGTATGTCAACACAGCTCATTGGACTGTTTATATTTTATGCGTTTGCTTCTGTAGCCCCTTATTATATGCTGGTTTGACAAGAGGCCTTTGGTAATCGAAGGATTACTGGCCGGTTACGATGCTAAATCTACAGGGGCGGGTTTGGGTCATGACAATAAGAGAGTATCCCATATTACGCAGAGTTTCAGCCCCATACTAAGAAGGGTCTCGAGGGACTTTTTTTTTTCCCCTTGAGGTCAATGTTGAAATACTTGAAGAGGTTTGTGAAAATCATTTCCAAAGGGAAGGGCCTGATTATAATGTTTGTGAGCTTGAATGATACAGTGAGTTACCAGAAAGCCAAAATCAATGAGGTAACCAGTGGCTAGAGCCCAAATGAGAAATGTATGACCGTAAGCGATGGCATCGAAACTGTAATGCCCCCAAAATAATACAATAAGGATAACTCATATGCGGAATAAATACGAGAAACAACATACTTTCATACATCAGAGTTTACTATTTAACAACCAGTTAAATGCCATACAAGCTTATATCTTTCCAAGTCCTTGCTTGGTTACAAAAATTGAATCTCGCTCATTACATCTTAAGCCCTTGGCTTTACAAATAACAAGCATACACACTTAAGGCATAAATAAGAAGCTCTTGCTTCCCGAAAGTCCATCCATGCTAATGCCCTGGAGGAAACATCTCACCTGCACTTGAAAATGATATTCCCGTATAGGGTGAGCCAACAGCCCAGTAGAGATAATCTAACACAATATATGAGGTTTAGCAAAGGTATAAATACCACATATATAAACAATACCGATACGGATGCATTCACAAGGCCTGCATATTCATATGCCACTAAGACCAATCTTATTCCCTTTTTCTTCAATTCATTTCCAGTTTATATATACGCTACTCAATTCATGAGTTAGATTCATTATCTTTCAACAACCAAAATGAGACTACAACTCAATGGTTTTCTATTTATGCAAAACACATATAAACACTTCAAACTTGCCATTTTACGGATATTTCGTCCGAAGGAATCAGCACCTATTTATATATAAAATTTCGGGTCTTTCACCCAGGACACTCCGGGCAACTTGCTTTAAATGGAGTCCATCCCCTTTCTCTACCCAAACAAATATACATACGCAATGTATTTATGAACAAAATCACATATGGAGTACATCTCCTATCTCCTCCCAATAAACATATATATACAATATATTTAGAAACATAATCACATATGGAGTACATCCCCTATCTCCTCCCAATAAACATTCATATATAATGTATTTAAAAACATAATCACATATGGAGTACATCCCCTATCTCCTCTCAATAAACATACATATACAATGTATTTAAAAGCATTATCATATACAATGATCAATTATAGCACATATTCAATGTGTTAATCCAACCTTCATATTCAATGGCATAATTCAATTGATTAGTTTCAATTTACCTAATCATCATGCAGCTCTACAACAATCATGGCTATCCCCCACCGATAGCCTAAAACAATTATCACTAAACAGGTAAATAAATCTATCAACAGATAAATTATTTCATCTTCCATAGGTGAGTGATTTATCAATCCAACTACACCATTCGATTACATTTCCACCCAATTATATATTCCCATAATTAATTTCATTATTTTGACAAATAATTCATTTAATCCCAATTAGGGCATTTTTTCATCTTTTTCAAATAACAACCTCAAGGTTCAATTTCATCAATTATACACAAATAACCTCATTTCAAAACCCCATATTCACAATAGAGTCCAACACTGAGAAACCCCTCTTTTTATAATTTCAGATCCAAATCTTAGATTTGTCCAAACCACAACCAAATCTCATCATCTATACACAATAGCAAATAACTAAGATAAAAACCCTATTAGAGTGTAGAAAATCCCTACTTCAGGTTTTGAAGAAGAAATGAGATGAAACCTCCAAAATTCGACGTTGTCGAAATTTGATTTCCACCGATCAAAATGTTGCTCTTGCCAAGCTCTTTATTTTGGTCTCAAGAACCATGGTCTAAAACCTTGGGTTCAAAATTGAGTTGAGTTTGATGCCACCTTCTTAACAAGCATTAGCAATCTCATTGAGGTTTCCTTTCATTCTTGCCACCATTGAATGGCTAAATTGGAAGTCTTCGTGAGAAGACTCAAACAATGACATTATTGTTGGAACTTGGAAGCATATCAATAAACACCTTGCTTCATTCCTATGATTAGTCTTAGATTATATAGATTTCAGTACATCACCTAGAACTAGTCCCCACTGTGTCCAATGGGTGCCACCCTGGCAATACACAGCAAAAGGCTCCCTTAGTGGTCCATCACATGGGAGCTCACTTGTACTGCCATCAATGATTCAACAAATACAGGCTCCAAGCAAACAAGGCTTCCTATATAGATTACTCAACAGTTCTCTCTCATTCTATTTATTCTCATACCAAGGTTCGTAAAAATATCCAATTCTTTGCTCTTCAAGTACTTATTTTACTTGAATTTTATGTCAATGTTATGTAACAATTTTGCATTACTGCTAGCTTGGAAATATAGTGCATGAGAAATCTATTCTGCTGCCGCTTATACTTGTTAGCCTTTTGGCCTGGGACGAGCCCTTTTTATTTCAAGTAGATGATGCATTATGCCTTGCTCTCTATGTTCCCGTTACTGTGTCGTGATGAAGTGCAACACACAGCCTTCGGAGCACCAGCAAAATACATCGTTGCCTTTTTCTTTGCATCATCAACCACAGCAGTGTTGGTCAGATAAGCAATCTTGAGCTTGTCAAGAAGTAGCTCATCAATGTTCCATCTGTTTAGGAGATTCAAGATGTCCCCAGAAGCTAACTCATCAAACAGCACCTGAAGGGCTAGCGATAGAACAGCCTCCCACCACACCGTTTTTGTTTCCCTCAGACAACAAAATGAAATAAACAATTATCAAACGGCTGCTCAGCTATGAAAGGAGGAAAGTCAATTGTTGATGAAGCTTTATGGTCTATGCCTTCCATTCCATGCACTTTCCATTCTTTTCTTTATTTTAACCTCCTCCGGCTCTTTCTCCCTAATCTTTGAATAATATTTTCCACCCCTTTCTTGATCATGCATGCTCCTTTTCTTTTCTTTTCTTGTTTTTTTTTATTCTTATTCTTTTCACCTAGACAATGCTTTCCCAGCTCATATACCACTCCACCACACATAAACCCAGCACATTCATCTTTTTCTTTTTTTTCTTTTTTAATGTAACTTTTTGCGACGGCACAACTTGCTGTCGCTAAAAAATAGAGTATTTGCGACGGCAGAAAATGCTGTCGCGAAAAAGGAGAGCATCTGTGACGGCAGAAATTGTTGTCGCAAAAAGAAATAGAATATTTGAGACGGCACCAGCTGCAGTTGCAAAAAAAAAAAGAATAAGAGTTTTTTACGACTGTAATAGGTGCCGTTGCAAAAATAAATAAATAAATAAATAAATAAATATATATATATATATTGTGGCTTTGAGACGCCTTCATATATATAGTCACAAAATGGTTTAAATAAATGCAACGGATATTTTCTGTCACAAAAAAAAAAAGACGTCGTCTTACTCTTTTGATATAACATTTCTCTTTTCACCCATTTTTTGATCTTTCTGTCTCTCTATCTCTGTCTCTGTCTCTCTTCTCTTTCTCTCTCTCATTTATCACTCTTTTCTGTCTGTCTGTCTTTCTCTTTCTCTCTGTGTCTTTGTCTTTGTCTCTCTTTTTTTTCTCTCTCTCACTCATCACTCCTTTCTGTTTATCTGTCTCTCTCTTTCTCTCTGTGTCTCTTCTCTTTCTCTGTCTCACTCATCATTCTTCTCTGTCTGTCTCTCTTTCTCTCTGTGTCTCTCGTCCATCTCTCTTCTCTCTATCTCTCTTATCTCTCTCTTCTCTGTATCTCTCTCGCTCATCACTCTTTGTCTCCCTCTCGTTTATCTATTTTCACTCTTTTTTTTCTCTCTCTCTCTCTCTCTTCTCTTTCTCTCTTTCACTCATCACTCTTCTCTCTCTATCTGTCTGTCTATCTGTCTGTCTGTCTGTCTCTCTCTGTGTCTCTCACTCATCTATCTATTCTCTCATCTCTTTTCTCTCTGTCTCTTTTGCACATCTATCTTCTCTCTATCTCTCTCGCTCATCTCTCTTCTCTTTATCTCTCTTTGTCTCTCTCGTTCATCTCTCTTCTCTCTATGTCTCTCTCACTCATCTTTCTTCTCTCTATCTCCCTCGTTCATCTCTGTTCTCTCTCTATCTCTTTTTCTGTCTCACACTCTCTATCTCTTTCTCTCTTTGTCTCTCTCTCTCTCTCTCTCACTCATCACTTTTCTCTGTCTGTCTGTTTTTGTCTCTATCTCTCTTTGTCTCTCGCTGATCTCTCTTCTCTCTATCTCTCTCATCTCTCTTCTTTCTCTATCTCTATCTCTTTCGCTCATTTCTCTTCTCTCTATCTCTCTCTCTGTCTCTCTCTTTTTCTATGTCTTTCTCTCGATCATCTCTTTTCGTTCTCTTTCTCTCTCTCTTTGTCTATCTCTCGCTCATCTCTTGTTTCTCTCTCTTTTTCTGTCTGTCTGTCTTTATCTCTATCTCTTTCTCTCTCTGTCTTTGTCTCTGTCTCTGTCTCACTCATCACTCTTCTCTCTCTCTCTCTCTTTCTCTCTCTGTGTCTGTCTGTCTTTCTCCCCTATTGTGTTCACCTTGCTCACTCTCTTCCTCCCCTCTTTTCTATTTACCGAGCTCTCCACTACAAGAAAATGCATTTTTAGCGACCACTTTGTCTCTCTCTCGTTCATCACTCTGTCTTTGTTTCTCTCTATTTCTCTTCTATATCTGCCTCTCACTCATCTCTCTCTCTCACCACCCATCTTCTCTACCACTTTCACCACTACTGCAAATGCCATTCCACTACTACCATTACTACCACTGTTGCCACTCCACCTCTATGACTATCATTACTACCACCATCTCTACCATTCCACTACTACCACTATTACTACCATTACCTCTCTTCCACCACCGCTACTTTATCTCATCTACCACTACCACAATTTTACCACTAATCTCCTTCGCCATCACTACCACCACCACCTTTACCACTACTGTCACTCCCTATCCTCTACTACAAAAAATTAGTTCTTGATTTTTAGTAACAAAAAAAAAAGGGTCGCAAAAAAATATTTTTCATTGACGACAAAAAATCAACCTTATTTTAATGGAAAATATTTTTCATTAAAATATTATCCCTACTTCTACCAAATAAAAATAATAATAATAATTTTTTATTCATTAAAATAAATATGAAACAAATAAATTTTCAACCTTAGTAAATGAAAAAAAAAAATTCATTAACTATAAAAAAAATTATTTTAATAATTTTTTTTGACGACAATATCCTCCGTCGCGAAAAAAAAAAGGAGTTGTTTTATTATTTAAATATTCATTTGTGACGAAAATGAAAATTTTTTTTTCCATTCCGGCTCAAACCCCCTCTTTTTCGTTTCCGCTTGGGTTCCCCCCCCCAAACCCAAAATCCCCAATCTCTTGAACCAAAATCCCCAATGTCAAAAACCAAAAACCCCTAATCTCTTCTTACGTCTCTCTCTCTCTCTCTCTCTGGCGAGCGGCGGCAGGCGACGGTGAGCAGCAAACCTTTCGAAGTTCCTTATTTCTTCTCTCTCCTTCTAGACCCTTCGAAGCCTCTTCACCTTCCAAGGTTGTACAAAACGTTGCGGTTTCATCCGAGTACGAGTAAGAAGAGGACCTATTGAGCGATGCAAAGGAACCTAGTTTCTCTCCTGCTCTCAAACTTTTCATTGGAAACTTACCTTTCAATGCTGACAGTGCTACTCTTGCTAGGTTGTTCGAACGAGCTGGAAATGTGGAGATGGTTGAGGTATGAATTTACATTTTCGCCTATCTATGAAATATATATATATATATATATATATATATATGGGTTTAGGGTTTATTGAGATTTTAATTTTCTAGATAATGTTTTGTTTGGTGTAAAATTTATGTTATTTGGTGTGAAAGGTTATTTTCATTTTCATATTTATCTATTTATTCTTGTGAACTTCTGTTAATTTTCAAGTTTTGCTTGTGAAAATTCTTTGACTGAAATATGAATTTCTGTGGGGTTCAGAATTGAGTTCAAATTTTATTCTTTGGGTTTGGTGTGTTACAAATCTATGAAATAGATATGGGTTTTTATTTTTTATATAATTGTAACAAGGTTTACAGAGATTTTAGTTTTGTAGATAATGTTTTGTTTGATGCAATGTCAAATTATTGGAATAAACAGGACCTTCTTATGGTAAAAGTATTACAATATTTCATGTTCCTATGAGATGCAGGATTGGTGTTACATGTCAATTTTTCCAACTTTTCTAATTTCTTGATGAGAACTATTTTTGACAATGTTGTTGTAATAACTAGCCTGGTTATTAAATGAAAGAATTACAGAGTTAGTCCATTTCATTTCAACTAGCAAGCAGGGTAGAGTAGAACTTAGAAGGGTTATTTAGTAGTGTCATTGGAGACCATAACCTATATATAACCCAATGAGATCTTATTATTTGTTTGCACCACTAACAATAATTCTATTTCATTACCAATTAAAAACATGCAAGAATATTGGGCAAAAATCTATTATTTATATAAGGATGTTTCAATTATATATAATACAGTTTTGAAATTAACTAAATATTATAAAGTTATTGATTGAATATATTCTAACCTATTTATAGCATTATATGCACTTACACAACTCTTTTTCAACTTATAGTTCAATTTTTCAAAAAATGAGGGGGAATGTACTATGTTGTTGATGTTGAGAAGCTCACAAGAATTCTGAATAATATGGCCAAAAGAAGGCAAAAGAGAATCAGTAGGCTAAACTCCCGGATCAAGAAAAGAAAGTTTTGAATTGGGCTTATATTCGGAACTGAGTTAAAAGGGCTTACAAACCAAAGTAGTGCAGCAAATGGAAATAGCAGAGTCATGAAATTGAATTACCTTCCACCTCTCATCAATCAAGTGTAATTTGGAGTTTAGGTGATGAAAATGAATCATGCTCTTTAAGCTTTGATATTAAAATTTCAATGTTCAGATGTTTGCACTACTAAAAGTTTTGTTGAGCACGCTGTACCAGCTCTGGGGGAATGTGTTACACTTCGTTTTAAGGCCATTCAGTTCACTAATAATTCACAACCAAAGAACATCGGGAGGAAAGATGTCTCAGGTCTGTCAGTTCTTCCAAACTTGTGTTCTTGTTATTTTATTTTTGCCTTGCTTTAGAGCTCATCTCAATTTGTTCACTACGCTGTGATTTTTGGGCAGTCATAACAATGTAATTTACAAGTGCAAACACAACAGACCTGAGACATCATTCCTTTGATCTAAATATATATATACATCAATGCGATCGCAAATTTAGAGTGCCTTCCTTTGATTTAAACGAAAAAAGAATTACCACACTAATACAGAAAACTCTCTGACACATTCATTAGAACACAAAGATTAATTATGTCAAAAGAATGAAAAAGCAATCTTTTGCTTTCTTGGATTAAACCTAATTGATGTTTTATTAATATTCATTATTGACTCATATCATAATCCATGCCTCATTCACTAATGAGTATTTTTGTTTTTGGGAACACTAAAATTTTATGGAATTGGGTCGGAGTCGGATGATGATGCTGCCACTGACTCTCCTCCCACTTCGGTTGCTAATAGTGGCTCATAGCAAATTACCCCAACTTCAAAATCATATACAAGTTGATATTGATGCACTCATATAAGCGAACAACCATTGCATCTCAGCCTCACACAGGTAAGTAAACGAAGCAAAATTTATTTTCTGCATTTCTTCTTCTATATGCTCTTTACTATAGTAGCT